ACAACACAAGACGACCGCCTATTTGATAAATCTTTTATGGCAACCCCAGCAGTAATCAATACAGGTCGTGCCTCTATACTAGTTGCCAACCCAACATCCAAACCTGAGGCATTGTATAAAGGCCAGCACATCTCTTCAGCAGTTCCCCTTTATCGTTGCTCTTCTTCCCTGTGCACCATTTGGTCTGACCAACACCGCATAGGGAAAGTAACACATTCGCATTTCGCGGAAAGTAACACTACCCACGATATTTCTCCTCGTATAGTAGACCTCTCTCATGCTGAGGTGACTGATGAGCAACAAGAGCAACTGGCCGCTTTATTTTATGAATTCCGCGACAGGATCTCCAATGATTCATACGATCTAGGATCCTACGAAGACTCAGAAATTGTCAATAAAACTACAACCAACTCTCCAACTACTCGTTTTCGACCCCCTCGGATCCCAGTCAAGTTTCAAAAGGAGCTTGATGAACACATTAACAAGCTACTTCGCGCGGGTCGTATTGTAGAGAGTGATACGCCGTGGGTTCATAATACGGTAATCGTCAAGAAGAAGGACAGATCCCTACGGGTTTGTCCGGATCCAGATCCGGACCATTACCCTTTACCTCGCATTGAAGACATATTAGCTAAGATTGCTGGTCACAAATACTATACCAACTTGGATTTAGCTTCAGGATACATGCAACTTTTACTTTCCCCCGAAAGCCAAGAAAAATGTGGCTGGGTAACGCATCGTGGCATATATCAATTTGTATATCTTACTTTTGGTCTTAAAAACGCTGGTGCATATTTTTCTAGGGCTATGTCCCGCATTCTAGCTGGACTGGAATCTAACTGTCTAGCGTATCTAGATGATATCATCATTTTTGATCTGACTTTCCGAGTCATTTACTTTCTTTACGCAAGGCCTTCCATCGCTTTCGTATTTTTGATATTAAAGCGTCTGGTAAAAAACTGACCGAGATAGCCCGTTCTTATATCACCTTCTTGGGCCATGAGATTTCAGGTTCTGTATATTCTCCAGCCGATCGTAACATCCGCGCTATAAAAGACTTTCCCACGCCAACTACTATCAAGGCTGTCAAAGGCTTTGTGGGTATGGCGAATATCTTTCGGAAATTCATCGCAAATTTCGCTTCGATCGCTTCCCCTCTTTATGCCCTTCTCAAAGATAAAGCAACATTTATTTGGGGTGTAGAACAAGAAGAAGCGTTCCAGCGTCTCAAACATCCCTTAACCTCTAAACCGTGTTTAGCGTTTCCTCAAGACAAAGAGTTCTTTCTTCACAGTGACGGTAGTCAAAATGCGGTGGGTGCCGCCCTATTCCAGAATAGTTCTCAAGATGACCACCAGTTGGTCGCCGTAGGATATTTTAGTAAGGCTCTCTCTGATTCTCAACGGAAATGGAGCCCAACTCACATAGAATTTTTTGCCATTATCAGTGCGTTGCGTTTCTTCAAAGCAACAATATACGGTAACCACACTACAGTATTCTCCGATCATCGCCCTCTCACCTTCTTACTCAAGCATGACAAAACTCACGATAATCTTACAAGGTGGGCGGTCGAACTTCAGAGTTATGACGTGACCATTATGTACCTCAAGGGATCGTCTAATGTGGTGGCCGACGCTCTTTCGCGTGCCGCCAATCCCCAAGTGCGCTTTCAAGATGACACACCTGACGCCGATGACATCATTGAGTTTCCGGTCAGTACCAATTCGGTGTTTACCTCAACGTTCCCCAAGCAACCTACACTTTGTTGCCTGGGACCGCCTAAGGCAATCCGTCCTTACGACGCCCTTGTAGAACAGAAACGTGACCCATTTTGCTCCGCATTGTTCACGCTCATCAGCTCCCAGCGGTTTCCTGATGATCTCACTGACGAACAAAAGCGGCACTGGAAAGAACACTGTGTGGTGCGCGAAAACGGCTGTCTCTATTACAGTGACTCATCAGAGCCTTCAACGTCTTTCAAGTCTGACCGTTTGGTGGTCCCCGAGAAATTGAAGGAGCCTGTCTTCCTCGCCTTTCACCCCCCTCGGCGGGAGGCCACTTCAACTGGAAGAAGACTTTGCCGCATATGGTTGAGGACATCTTTGCTTTAGTTCGCGCGTGCGACGCGTGCCAACGCAAGCGCCCCAACCGGATGAACCAAGAATTATTGCTCCCTGTGACCAGTGGAGCCATTTTCGACAAGGTTTATGTTGATTTAACCAGACCCCTTCACATCACCGAAGGCGGAAATCGATATATATTAGCTATGTTCGATCATTTTTCTAAGTATGTAATCGCCTGCCCCTTACCCGATTGTTCCGCGGTAACGGTGGCCCGCGCCATCCTTAACGAATGTATTTTAAAATTTGGTGTGATGACTCAGCTCGTTTTAGATAACGCCTCGTATTCCAAAGGAGACGTCATCGAGTCTATTGGACGATTTCTTCGGATCAATCGCTACTTTTGTACCCCATATCACCATGAAGGAAATGGTGCATGTGAACGTGTGTTCGCCACGTTTCACCCTATGTTGCGGACATACATTTCAGAGAATCAGTTGGACTGGGACCAGTATGTTTCTGCGTGCACCTTCATGCATAACACGTCGGTCCATACAAGTATCAATAACACTCCGTTTTTCCTTGTTTTTGGTCGTGACCTTGTTTTTAACATAGACTTACTAATTCAGCATGATTTACAGCGTCAAACCCTTTCTTTCGATGAATCGCAACTCCATCTCCAGAACCTTGTTGCCTCTCTACACGCAGCATGGCGAGCTGCGACTAAGTTTAATGCGACTCGACGGGAAGCCTATAAACGCCAATACGACCGCACGCACCTCGCGCCCCTCTCCATTAAAGTCGGTGACCTGGTATACCTCCGCAATTTAGCACCCTCGGTGGGTTTATCCCCAAAATTGGCCTTCCCTTGGCTAGGTCAGTTCCGGTTTATCGAAGCGAACCCCCCTCATTTAACCATTATCAGCGTGTCATCATCCCAATCGGTACCCAAAAGGGTCCACATGAACCAAGTCAAGCTCTGCAATCTCCTTTCGGGACCTGTTTTCACTACTCCTTGGTTACCCGAAGTAGAGAATTTGGCTCTTTCAGCCGCTGGGGCCACAGATCAACCCATAGACGGTTATAACCAGATGACTCTGTTTCTCATTCTTATTACATTCGTTCTCGATCTCGACGTACTTCTCTTTGACCGGATGGTCGCCCTTTCCGGAACAGTTACAATGTTTACAGTAGGCTGTTAGGCTGTTGCTCCAGCCGCACTGTGATCGATTTCCCCGAGTCCGATCGGTACATTGATAACACGTTCGCCAATACTATTCACATGCTTTCCTAACCAATCAACCAACATATCGTTCCTTGCATTCTCACATAACCGTTACTGTTTCCGTTTATTTTATTTGTCGTTTTCTACCCTCTCGCGTCGCGAATACGTTCCCCTCATCGTTCACTATTTCGTTTGACTTCTAACTCTTTTCAGGTAAACCCGACAGTAACTTCCATGTTCGGTCTTCTTGAAACCTGGGCATATTGTATAATGTTTTTCCACTGTTTTGCCGTACAGGTTTGTTAAGACAGAAACCGCTTTATTGGTCGACGTTTCGACAAATCGTCGTCTTCAGGACCTGAAAGCAGTTCGGAGCTCCTGATCTGTGGCTTACCCGACCAAGCGCCTAAACGCGCCAGCCCAGTTGCAACAGCTCCCAGAAACTTAAACACTAAAAGATCCGAACCGAGAAACCAACCTTCTGCGGTTCCACCAACGTTGTCGTCCCACTCGATTTCGTGAACAAACAGGGACAAATGAGATACACCATTGACGGTTGATAGATAAGATATGCGCGGTGTTCTCAAAGCCCACAAAAAGAAATGAATGGCAGAAATTCGCTTGTTATGGCAATGCACTCATTTCGGTTGTTCAGCTCAGGATTTCTCTCGTGGATGTGGAACGCTTCCAAAATCTTTCTAGCACCGATCTCATTCTCGTAGGCTAGGATTTTGCATTTGATATCAAAATCATTGCCTTGATGTACTTCAACTCGATGCTTCCCAAGTGGCGTAATTAGGCTTCCGCGCCTTTTACCTGCTAGGTGTTCTTTGACACGTATGCCTAACATCCTTCCCGTCTCACCAATATATGTTCCGTCACAGGCTGAACACTGAAGTTGGTACACTGTCCCTCGTTGTGTGCAATCCCCGTCTTTTCCAAACGGACAGATAACGCAGTTATTCGTAGAACATGCACGATCATAAAGTCTATTGCGGATAAGGTGACGTTTGATATTGTCCCTCGGTAGGTTCACCAGGACAACATCATTCGCTAAATCCGCTCGAGCTATGCATTGTCGAACTTCTGCGCTAACTTTATCCGATATAAATGGGAGCCGGAGATGCATCACATTCTCACGGTTTCTCAGCGAAAACGCTTTTGAGCCTGAT